TGTGTGTGTGTGTGTGTGTGTGTGTGTGTGTGTGTGTGTGTGTGTGTATATATATATATATATATATATATATATCCAGAGACTGTGGTGGGTGCATTTTATAAATCAATTAATATATACATTAAATAAATTTAGACATACCATTTGATGTGGAGATGTGGGAGCCTGTCTACTGCGATTTCCTATTCATTTCACATAAGTCACCAGGCATTTGATAGATAACATTCAATCATTGCCAGTGTGGGTAAGATATGAACCATAGTCCTAGAAGTGAAAAGGTCTATATCCCAATGTGTCCCTCTGTAAGAATTAATTTGATAAAATTCATATATTCTGACTGGCTTCACTGCCAAAGTAGTTAATTTGTAAGAGAAACATCATTATGTGCAATTTCCTAAGAAATAGTCTTAAATTTTTAAAATATAAGAATTTAGAAGCTGTGGTTCAGTTAGCAATGTTGCCAAAGGGCCATTGTGAAGCAAGGATCAACCTTGGATCAATATTGATATAGAGTAGAACTTTGTTATGAAGTCCCTGGCTTATGTCACCACTTTTACACTACTGGATATTGCTTATGGTTTGTGTAAATTATACTGAAGTTTGCCTCTTCCCTACTGCTCTGTGATCATCAAACTATCACCTGGCATTCTGCAGAAAGGATCAAATGGGAATGTATTACAAGTAACAGCTATATTGAAATTCAGTACAGCTATGCGAGCAAATCTATTTCCTCTAGGAAGGGTGTCCCTAGCCTCTGTTTGTCAGAGGGTGGAGATGGATGGCAGGAGAGAGATCACTTGATCATTACCTGTTAGGTTCACTCCCTCTGGGGCACCTCGCATTGGCCACTGTCGGTAGACAGGATACTGGGCTGGATTGACCTTTGGTCTGACCCAGTATGGCCATTCTTATGTTCTATTTCCTGTTTTATTTCAAATTTGGACAGAATGTCAAATGGATAATGGTACTTCAGTGCAATCTTCAGACACTTGCTATAAATAGGTGTTTGCCTTATGTACCGTTAGATAAACTAATGATTTAGAAGTTTCATTAACATTTATTGTTATCTTCTTGTAGTTTCCAACCATAAACCCTCTGGGATTCCATTATTTAATAAAGAGTTAGTCTGACCTTGTGAATTTACAAGAAACTAAGAGGCACTGCCAGCTAATTAAATCCATGTTGTTTTTTGTTATATACTTGGGGTACATACTTTGCCCCTTACTTCGTCAGTAGTCCTACTGAAATCAGCACGACTACTTGCAGAGTATCTCAGCATGAAGGTAGAATTAGGTCCTTGGTTTTGAATGCCAAACTCAGATACAAAAAGGCATTGTACTGATGTTGCAATAACAAAGAATAAACAAAAAAGTATTATCTTAGTGTGGAAAGAAATTACCCTCTATTTCTAGTATTTACCTTTTTCAGGCTTGTTGGACTGTTTTGTCAGGATTTCATATTTAATAATCTCTTCTCTTGAAGGTGAGCAAAGGGGAAGGTATTCTACTTCAAATAAAGAATGCAATGAATGAGGGAACAGCAGCAAAGGCACTGAAAGCGATGATGATGGAGTTCTATCGAATTATACGTCACAAAAATGGAATAGACTATAATATTACCAAAAGACTGTTATCTAGCAAACAGGACCTCTGTCAGGTAACACTTTCAGATGGTTAGTAAGCACTGATATGTCCTGTATAGTGTCACTTATAAATACTGTTACACCAGTGAGTAGGATATTTTTTAACTCTTGCAAGAGCTACTAAAATGTAGTTCCATTGTGAATCCAAATAGCAATGGGGGGTTACTAGTGGTGCAAAAAAGTTACATTTAAAATATGTTTGATATAATTATCTTTGGCCATAGGAAAGTTTCTGATACCAGAAGTCTCACATCCCATAAATCTTGCCCATGACTGATGATGTGGCAACAATATAATGTTTTTATAGTTTAATGTGATATAATTAGTTTGTGTGCAGGTTAGGTGTCCCATCATGATATGTTGTTATACAGATCAGACTATATGATCACAATGGTCCCTTTTGACCTTGGAATCTATCAATATGCATTAATAAAATGTGTATGTGCCACTTCTCCAGGCACAAGCTGGTGCTGGGTTGCTTGGCCTCCCCACCCTGTCTCCATCCTCAGAGCAGGACAACTCCCTGCTAAGGTTTGGGAATTGGATTGATCCGAGTCTTGTGATAACATGATCTCAATCCCCCACCTTTCCCCCCTCTCCTAGGCTGTGAAGCCCAGCTTTGAGCATTGCTTTTAGTGCCATTGCCCTCCTGATTGGCCAGTGGCACTGCTGACAACACAGGATGGCTGCTGAGTGGCAGCCAGGGAGTGAGGACAGTCCCAGGAGCAAAGTCAAAATGGCAGCCAGCCAACAGAAAGTACTGGCTTGCTGAGTTGTTGTGAGATGGCCCAAGGCTTGGATTGATTTGGAGTTTTATGAAAGCAGTTTAACTGTATCTGCCATGTTTTGTTTACATAAGGTGCCACACCTGGTCTCACTCTTGCTATTCATGCTAACGGATAAGTTGAAATAGTCTCTGCTTTTATCTTCAGTTCCAGTATTATTTCACTGTAATTAGTGTGAATGGTTTTCTTTTACTATAACTTTCTCTCTTTTTCTTTATTCTGGGTTTTGGTTATTTTCTATATTAAATGTAACAAGTATAAAATGACCTCCCCTCCCCCAAAAGTCACCAAAAATGTAGAGAATTAGAACAGTGTTCACTAGTCACTTCAATATATTATCCACATATCAATTCTAATTTATATCTTTATATTTTAGCTAATCAGAGACATGCTTAATGTTTGCGAAACAAGTATGTCAAGCCCTAACCCACCATCTCTTGCTAAATACCGGGCTTTAAGGTGCAAGATACAAGCTATCAATCCAAACAGTGAAGAATTTCTCAATGTTAAACAGCAGGTGTTGAAAAATAATCACAGGTGGGTGTTTAATAGTGATAAGATGATCTCAGTAGTATTATAGGAATAATGCATAAAATACATATAATGAGGGGTGGGCCACCAGATTCTGCCACAGCAGTGAGATCTTTGGCTTCTGAAACACTCCACTCCTCTCCAGAGCCAGCAGGGTTGTGGAGTAGGCAGGGCTGGCCTTTACAAAAGCAAAGTAAGCAGGCATAGCATGTCAGGTGTTTGTCCTATTCCGCCTCCATCTCTGAGAACAAAGGAAGGGGAAAGAACTTGCTCCCATACCTTCCCTAGGACCAGAACCAGATGGGAAGAAATTCATGCCCAGTCATCAGCTCCAGCAGCTTGGGGCTGTGTCCTTGCTTGGGGCCCTGCAGATTGTACAGCCAGCATGATGATAGGCCATTGGTAGCTCACTCCCAACTCTAAAAACAGCTGGATCTTGGCCCCAGTTGTTCTTCCTGCCCATCTTTGCTTGGATCAGCTGCATAAGATATATCTTCCTCTACTATGATGTACATTTGGATTGAATAGAAACAAATTCATTATGACAGTATCTGATGAGACTGATAAAACTGCTCTATTTTTTGTTTCATTATTCAAGGCCTCAATAACACATCCTCTTCCTTTTTGGAAGGAACTATTTTTAAATTTGTTTTAATTAGATTTTATGGCTTCTGTGTTTGTTTCTGGAGCAGGATCCACTGATCTGCACCAAGTCTGGACTTCCCAGGATCTGAAAGGATACCAAAAAAGGCATATTTTAAAAAAGCTTTGCTAAATTCCTCTCTGCTCGTGCTACTGAGGGATTCAGCACCTACTACTCTGAATTTGTTATTTAAATATCTTTAAGAGAGGATCCCATGATGTTTGTTTTGTAATTGAATATGTATTTTGTATGTAGCTGAGCTTGTGGCAGGATTGTTTGGACTGAGCTTGTAGGCCCAGATCCTCAGGTGCCTAAATATCTTTAACTCCCATTGATTCATGGAGTTGGGCACCTAAATACCTTTTAAGCCTTAGTCAGTGTACTACAACTTCCATTGGTCCTGTCTACAGCCTCAACAGACAAGTGTCAGTGGCTGCTGGGAGTTGTAGTGTAATGCAGCTACATTCTGTGCAGATCATAAGCTAAAAGCTCTTCCTCTTAGGTCACCCAGACTGTTGACTCCAAAAGGACAATGAATGAGTAGGCCTGATAGATGGAAACTTCAAAATCTGTTTTTGTTAAAATTTTGGAAAACTAACATTCTGATTTTTTCACAGTTCTGCCATAGCTTGAACTCTGTGAAACATAAATACATTGTCTAGAAAAGGGGGAAACCTACTATGAGATTACAGGCAATCACAGATTAGATAGCTGCTGTAGAATTACAATTTGTATTCCTATTTGCCTTTAATATTTAAATATTTCCAGTGCGTTTTCAGTAAATGCTCCTTTGTACTGTGTCTGGTTCTTGTAATTATGAAAGAAAAACAAATGAAGAGTAGTCATTTCTTTGAGGTACATATTAGTTCTTCACCCTCTAGCTATTAATTGAATTTGAATACACTTTCTAACTCACATTGCCTCAAAGTTCATTTTCAATTTCTTGCAGTGACTGTCCAGTGAAAGTTTTACAAATATACAGAGTTGGCAGAATAAGTGAAACAGCAGAGTTTCTGAGCAATCTTGGGAATGTTCAATCCTTATTCCATGCATCATCTGTGCGCAACTTCGTTGGAATTCTCTCCCGGTAAGAACTTGCAGTATTTTTTCTTTAAGGTTTTCCAGCATCTTTTTACTTTTTTGTTTAATATTTTGAGTTTTTATAAAGGACTCATTTTCTTTGACATTAAGCAAATGTTTACTTTAATGTTTGAGCATTAACATTTATGCAGGTACATTATAATTCATCTGTTCAAAAGAAAAGGTAGATTTTTCTATTATGAAGATGTGATATTCTCTTGAAAATGGGTCTAGGGTGGATATAAGTAGTCAGATATCATGGTAATAAGCATAATTTAAATACCTGGGTAGAGAAAGAACTTAATTTTTTTTCAGTGTGTTCTATTTAAGCTTAATTACTACCCTAATAAAATAGAGAGAGAGTGGAAAGAATAATAAATGTGTCAAGTATCAGAGGGGTAGCCGTGTTAGTCTGGGTCTGTGAAAAGCAAGAGAGAGTCTTGTGACACCTTTAAGACTAACAGATGTATTGGAGCATAAGCTTTCGTGGGTGAATACCCACTTCGTCAGACACATGTCCCATTCACCCACGAAAGCTTATGCTCCAATACATCTGTTAGTCTTAAAGGTGCCACAAGACTCTCTGTTACTTTTTACAGTAATAAATGTGAATAATATATCCTAATAATATATCCTTTCTTCTAGCAAGTCTTCCATTGCTGACCTCCATCCTCCATTTTTTGATGTTATTTTTTAAAATATATGTGTGTATGTAATATTAAGCACACATCATTGTCTTCTTCTGTTGTGACCCATATCTTACCACACACACTGTTTATTTTCATCCCTTGTGTTGGATCTAATTAAGGGTTAAACATTTGCAGCCAATAGTAGTACTAGTAGTACTGACAAATTCTATGCGACTACTCACAGTAATAAGTACTGAGTTCATTAATGAGTGTTCATGTGATCATCTGCTTTGATTGCAGGTCCTGAGGACAAGAATCTGTTAACTTTATTTGCTTGTAACGGGCCATGCACACCTATGATACTGTATAAAAATACAATGTTAGTTTTATTTCTATAGCCAAATCTGTTCTTGAATAAAGTTGGTTTCTGTCATAATCTTAACAGAATTCATAGATTCTAAGGCCATATGGGACAATTAGGTTGTCTGGTTGAACTTCCTGTATATCACAGGCCACTAAGGGTATGTCTACACTGCAGTTAAAGACCCACAGCTGGTCTGTGTCAGCTGACTGAGGCTTGCAGGGCTTGGGTTTCGAGGCTGTTTAACTGTGGTGTAGTCGTTCAGGCTCTGGGACCCCACGAAGAGGGAGTGTCCCAGAGCCTGAGCTACACCCTGGGCCTGAATATTTAGACGACTGTTAAACAGCCCCATAGCCTGAGCCTTGCAAACCAAGTCAGCTGATAACCCCTGCATTGAGCCCAATATCATATTTCTTTTACTAAAACATACCTTTCAGAAAGGCATCCAGTCTTGATTTGAAGAAATCAACAGATAGAGAATCTACTACTTCCTTTGTTAGTTTAGTCCAAAGGTTTATCACCTTCAAAAATATGTGCCTATGTCTAATTTGAATTTGTTTGACTTCTGCTTCCAGCCATTGGTTCTTGTTATGCCTCTCTCCTCAAGATTAAAGAACCCCTCAGTACAGGTATTTTCTCCCTGTCAGGGTACTTATAAACTGTAATCAAGTGAACTATTAAGGTCTTTAAGTTTCTCGCTGTAAGACATTTTCTCCAGACCTCAAATGATTTTTGTGGCCCTTCTCTGTGCCCACTTCAAATTTTCAACATCCTTTAAAAAATGTGGACACCAGAACTGTATGCAGTATTCTGCTATCAGTCTCGCCAGTGCTGTAAACAATGGTAAAATAATCTTAGAACTTCTCTGTTTATACATCCAAGAACAGTGTTATCCCTTTTTGCCACAGTGTCACACTGGGAGCTCATGTTGAGTTTCTTACCCACTGTGACCTCAAAATCTTTTTCAGAGTCACAGCTTTGAGGATACCAGCCCCCATTTTGTAGATATTGCCTGTGTTTCTTGTTCCTAGATGTATGACCTTGCATTTGGTTGTATTTAAATGTATTTTGTTTGAATGGGCCTAGCCTACCAACTGATCCAGATCACTCTGTATGACTGCCCTCACTTTGTCTTTATCCTTATTTACTACTCTGCCAACCTTTATGTCATCCTCAAATTTGATCAACAGTGACAGTATATCTATTTCCAGATCACTTGATTTAAAATATTGAACAGCATCGGACCTAGTGCAAATCCATGAGGAACCCAACTAGAAACATCCCCATTTGATGATGATTCCCCATTGACAACTGCTTTTTGAGTTCTGTCAGTTAGCCAGCTCTTAATCTATTTAAGATGTGCTTTAACTATATTATATAGTGCTAATTTTTTCGTAAGAATGTCATGCAGTACTAGGTCAAATGCCTTACAAAAGTCTAAGTATATTAAATCTATGCAGTTACCAATAGCAACCAAATTTGTAATCTCATCAAAAATTTAAAGCTGCTTTGTTTGACAATACCGACTTTCCATAAAAGAAGATTAAAGTTAAGGATCAAACTGCCCTTCACTCCTGGACACTCTACCTTTTTTGCCCACCCTTGTTTTGCTTAGATAATGTATGTATCTGTGATAGGTATATGGTGTTCCACATAGTATAGGTTATAGAAAAGTAGCACTATTTTATATAACAGACAAATATTAAGTGCTGGTTTTGTGTTAATGTGGATGTTTGCCAGTGATCACTATTTTGTTTTCACTTTGTAACATGCAGTTTTTATGTGCTAAAACTAGACAAATAAGGAGTATTTACTGTAATATCCTCTTCATGAACCTCACCCAGGGATTTTCCCTATTGTGACCAACTCAGTAATGTCTCTGTTTTACTGAACATTTTCCAGAACTCCCTTTCCATGGTTTCTGTAAACTGTATTTTGTCTGGTTCATCAGTGGCACCCTATTTACTCAGTATTAATCGGGACTGTATGTCCGGATCCTTCTACCTTCATTAACTGATGCTATTTCTTTTCTAGAGGTCTCCTTTTACCCAAGATAGTGGTGGAAGATCATGGCATGGAAAGAACTGATATTGGGAAGCTCGGGAGTGGCATTTATTTCAGTGATTCTATCAGGTTTGAAATACTTAGTTATAATAAGGGGGGAGGGATAGCTCAGTGGTTTGAGCATTGGCCTGCTAAACCCAGGGTTGTGAGTTCAATCCTTGAGGGGGCCACTTAGGGATCTGGGGCAAAATCAGTACTTGGTCCTGCTAGTGAAGGCAGGGGGCTGGACTCAATGACCTTTCAAGGTCCCTTCCAGTTCTAGGAGATGGGATATCTCCATTAATTTATTTATTTAATATTGGGTTCTTTTGACTCTTAAAGAAATTTAAGTTTCTTTTTGTAATGTTTTAGAGGAATTTTAAGAAAACTTTAATGTTGAAAGTTATTCCTTTCCATTTTTCTACTTTCTATTGAAACTTAAAATAGAAATGCATGTTAATATAAACTGTATGTGTCTGTGTGTGTGATTTTTCTTTAACTATAGTACAAGCACTAAGTATTCTCCACCAAGTGAAATGGATGGAACTCGACTGTTGGCTGTGTGTAATGTGGCACTTGGAACCTGCTTGGATTTGTATAAAAAAGATTTGTCATTAACTAATGCGCCAGCAGGATATGACAGCGTGCATGGAGTCCGTAAAAGAGCAAACATCGATTCAGATTTTGAGGTATTGAAATCAGATCCAACCAAAAAAAGGCACTGAGGTTGTTTAAAACGCTTGGATTTATTGTGCCAGTGTTAGATAAGAGGACAGAGGGAGACTGAGCACCTAGGTTCTATTCCCAGTTCTGCCACTGAATTACTATGTGGCAATGGGCGAGTCACTTTTACCTCCATTTCCCCATCTGTGAAGTGCATATAATACCTGCATCACAGGATTTTTAAACATTTGTATAGCGCTTTTGGACTGTGGCATGAAGGACACTATTTAAATGAAAAGTATTAATATTATTTTATATTACAGTGGAATTCTCCTATAAATAGCTGAGAGAGATTTTATATTGAACTTGGTTCTATAGCAAAGTGGGGTGAAAATCCTGAACTACTTCGCTACATTTCAGCAGACTTTCATGTCACATAAACCACATACTCAATAGGATTTGGAGCCATGGAAGGGTCAACCAGGATTTGTGTAATGGATGTTGAACATAGTTAGGCTATGTCTATACTAGCTGAAAACCATATTCCACCAGGGTTGCAGCAGTGAATCACAACTTCTTTTCCTAGTATAGACACATCCCTTTAGTAAAGCATTGCTTCACTTACAGTGAACTTTCATTCCACTATAAATTATTTGCATTGTGCTATTTCCCTTGGAATATACCAATTCTTATCTATCTGAGAGGTGCTAAATGCTACATTTCAAGGAAATGTCCCCTGCATCCTATAATTATCACTTTCACATAGAAGAGGGAAAGGACAAGGAGGATCCTGGCTCCCAGTCTTGCTACAGTAGCTCCCAGCAAGGAGTAAAGAGGAGCTGAGTAGTCTTGCTAAAGTTGCTCTGCACTGAGGGTAGAGAGGTTGCCAAGTATGCGGTTTTTGCAGCCCAATTGGGCTATTTATAACTGACAGCAGCGGGGATTTTTTAGCAGTTGCGGGTTGCAGTGTTTGGGCTATTTTGCTGCCCTGTTGCCACTGGCCATGCTGCTCAGGAGTTGGGAGGAAGACTCCTGATCTGCCTCGCCCTCTCCTCTGCCGAGATGTCCTGCCCTGCTGTCAGGGTCTCATGTCTCATCTCCCTCTTGGGTTACGTTTGCAGCATGCATGGAAGATGCTGCTATGCCTTAGTCCCAAAACCTTCTGCTGCTCTCCTTTCCCATACCTGCTGGTGAGCATTCTGACTCTTGGCATTAAGCAGTTATTTAGAGGCATGCTCACTCACACAGAAACTTTTTTGTGTATGGTGTCACAGTTCAGGGCATCTGCACCTGTATTTCCCCTCAGAGGTTCAGCAAGGGCACCTGACACTCAGACTTCCAGCTCTTGCCACTCTTGGGTGGAGACATGCATTTCCAGGCTGGACAGCTCCCTGGCCTTCTCTGTGTAATTCGCAGCACAGTCAGTGTGCCTAGACAGACCTTCTTGCTTTTTCTTCAGAGATGGATAACAGTTAAGGTTAAGATTTTGTCATGGTTATTTTTAGTAAAAGTCACACACAGGTCGCAGGCAATAAACAAAAATTCACTGGAGCTATGGCCTGTCCATGACTTTTACTAAAAATAACAGGGTAGAGAGGGCTGAGTGAGGGGAAGGAATGACAGCAGGTGCCCCATGGGGGGGACTGACAGTCCCACCACCATGGGGGAGGGGGTCACAGCCCCAGCTTCAGCCCCCGCTGCAGCCATGGGGAGGAGTGCGCAGTCTTGACTTCAGCTCTGGCCAAAGCCGAGGGATGGGGCACACAGTGGTGGCTCAGGCTTCGGCCCCAGCCAAGCTCCGGCCCCGGCTGAAGCTGTGGGGCAGGGAGGTGCACTGCCCTGGCTCCTGCCACAGCTGTGAGGGGGGCACACAGACCTGAAGCCATGGGTTGGGGAGGAACAGCCCCAGCTCCACCCCCGCCACTGACAGCTGAAGCCGACATCATGGAGGTTTGATAAAGTCTTGGAATCCATGACCTCCGTGATTAAATTGTATCCTTAATAATAGTGTTACAGCTACAGATATAACTTACCACACAGTTCTTTCCAACCAAGCCTACTTTATTCTTAAGGAAAAAATATTTTGGAGAAAACATATTTAGAACAATAAAAGAACCTACATGCATGCTAATAAGCTTACCAGGCGTTACGCCACCCAAGGGTTTTTTCTGTGGTCACAAATACATCAGTTTCAGTTCAGAACAAGCACACAGTCCTTTGAGGTCTCACTAGGCTAAATTCTTCCAGTGTTCCCATGAGGATTGGTGCACTCCATGGAATGGGGTCCTGCCTGTTTGGTGTATCAGGAAGAAGGCCCTGAGTCATTTTAAACTTAGGCTTTTTATCCAAAAGTCTTTTCTTTGTGGGTCTCAGGAGAGTCCAGTTTGGACTAGTGTATGCATATGTCCCCGGGGGACTTCAAAGGCTGATAACTGAGAAAGTTCAGTAGCATTCTCCTTCTCTGTTAGAGAAGGTACATACAATTCCACAACACCACATACACAATTGTATTTTAATATAATGTACCCCATAGATACTCCAATAAGGTTTAATTTAATTCTGTAAAACTTATTTTAATTCCATAAGGTTTGTTCTGGATATTGTCAGTCTGTCACATATGGAATATAGAAAACAACAATGAAAGAGGGTTCCACTGTCTTATTAATGTGTAAAATAAATATAATCCCTGTTCCAAATTGTTTAAACTGTAAAGGTAGGAATAGGTGCAATACTATGCAAACAAATAAGCACAGTTGCTGTCTAGGCAGCCAGAGAAGGAAAAGTGATAATTATATTTGGAATTATTTTGAGGAACAGTTGTGTTTTAAGGATTTTTTTTTTTTTTGAGAGAGAGAGAGAGAGAGGTTGGGCACCTGGATAACTTAATTGTGAGGCTTTCTGCCGAGTTGAGGGTGGCATGAAAAAAGTCATAAATTTGTGAGTGAGAAATGGAGACGAAAGGAGCAGTCAGTAGTGAAGTTTGGGCAGCATAGGAAGGTCTAGGATGAGAAGAGGACAGAGGTAGAGTTCTTTGAAGAGTGCAAAGCATTAGTATTAAAACCATACAGTCATATTGCTTATCTCAGTCAAGATGTCTCTTTAGATCAGCTCTTAAATCGGTTTACAGTCTTTGTAGGAATACCTGTAGCTTTTATTACATCTGTAAAATAATTCTCTTTCCTTGCAATAGGATGATGAATTTGTTGTATACAAAACCTGTCAGGTTAAAATGAGATACATTGTTAAGTTTTGCCTTGCTGGAGACCAAGTAAAGCAGTTTCAGCCTGGAATTGAGACCAGATTAGAGCAAGATCGGCCAGCGACCTCACATTGTCTTTTACAACCCGAAGGTGGGAAATATTTCTTGTTTATAATTGTATTTACATCATAAATGCTCTAGCTATTAATCAATAACTCTTGAATAAAACTGATCAAATACATTTTTAATATAATTTAAAAATTCTTTTGGCTTGATTTGCAGCTGTCACCACGCGTTCTTGACTAATATTGGTATCTTGGAAGCATCTGTTTAACAGATTTCCTCTGGGAATAAATATTGAGGCTGGTTTTCTCCTCCTGACAGAGTGCCTTTCAAGAGGCCTAGCAGAAAGTACTCTTGCATAAGTCATCAGACGCTCTTTAAAGAATTCACATTTTACTCCCTAAAGGCTAAACAAAGGTCTTATGAAAAACCTGTCATCAACTCATGATCCCTCAGACAGCCTTTATCACAGCAATAGAACAATACTATTGTGGGAATTCATAACAGGCACTGAGTATTATTTTTAATCCATATATGGTGAATTACAGTTGTAAACATGGGCCAAATGGCCATTGGTGTGTGGGATTGGCTATTACCCCACCACCACCACCATCCAAAAACCCAAACCAAAACACTAACCTTTCTTCAATTTTTTATATTTAGACTATGCATTACCAAGTGTAAATCTTTTAAACCATGTAAAAACTGGTCTTCAGGACACATCTGGAAACCCAGTCCCTCTTGAAGATATTCATATCAAGGGGAGGATAATAGACTTCATAGCACAGGTACAGTGCACTGTTTACTGTTAGCTCAACTTTTCAGCAACTGACTACTGAGAATTAATTCAAATTGTTATGTACTGTCGAGTCACTTTTAGAAAAATAGATCTCTAAATGAAGGTCAGTCTCTTACAGGTCCTGACATTAATTCAAAGTATTTTTAATTTTTAAAGGTAAGCAGACAAATTGCTTTTGTAAGTTCTTTGGGCAATGAAAAGATCAGTGAATTTGTGTAATTCCATATTTCAGAATAATTTTTCTGCCTATGTATGGTTAAGTCATTGCCAGGAAGAAAGTTGCTGCAGTGGAATATGCTTTTTTTTTTTTTTTAAGGGGCTTTCTTGCCTGCCTATTTGATAACTAGTACTGGTAGGTTGAGTTTACCAAAATAATGAAAGGCCCACCCCCATGGATGAGGGAGTGGCCCCAAACCCAGAAATCAACAGATTATCTGGGACAAAAAGTGAAAAAAGGGGATGGAGGTCCAGGATCAAAACAATGGATCCAGGGGGGTACACTCAGCAGAGAACCCTAGACCATGTCCACTGCTCCGAGAAGTCTAAGGAGTCAGTGGACACTGCCCAGAGGAACGCTGCCCAGATGCATGAACAGACAAGGAACTGCAAAAAGGCCCCACATTCGCAGAGATTTCCCCATCCAGCTTCCTCCTCAGGACTGATGAATGGCCATCTTGGATATGCCAGGCAGTGATTGATGAGAAGGTCTCAGGACTTTCTGGGGACATAGACAGGGAGTGCAGAGAGAAACAGGTGTGGACAGAAATTCAGCTGGAACCTCTGGCATTGAAGACTGAAATTCTCTATTTACAGAACAGATATTGTTCCTGGAGAGACAGCACAGGTTTCCCAAGTAGCCATGTCAGAAAAGCTTAACCTGGTTGCACTATCCGCCTTCCTGCCTACTCAGTCCTTTAGTCACACTTGAGGCTACCAGCACATTTACAATGGTGGTTTCTGTGGTGTAGACCCCTGTCCTGTAGACACTAGATTGGTGATATTTGTAAAGTTAGGATTTTCATATAGCCATCAGATGGAAATGATTTTTATTTACTCTTCACTTGGAGGAGAATTGAATTGGTGACCTAGAGATGAAAAACTCCATACAGACGCTCCCCAACTTACGCAAGCGTTCTGTTTCGGAACGCCTTGCGTAAGTCGAATTTTGCATAAGTCGGGAACGTATACCCAACAATTACGCCCCCCCCTCCAAGAAAAAGCTTACGGGATTTACGGAACTTTTTCTGTAAGTGCAGATTTGCGTAAGTCGGGTTTGCGTAACCCGGAGAGTGTCTGTATTCCATTACCAGTTTCCTGAACTGTCCATTCCCCCAAGCACCGGTAGATTTGTTACAATCACTATATGTATATGTGTTTGAGGTATTCGTGTACAAATAGGTCTTCAGAAAGATAAACCAAGTTGCACTCTGCCTCCTAGCAACATTTTGTAGTATGAAACATAATAGCACATTTATGCTGTTAAATTTAAAATAGTGAATTTAAACCAAAACCACTTGTGCAGAATGACCTATGAGAAGATATACTCATTACCTGTTCTTTTTTTATCATGATATTTTTTTCACTTAATAGGATTATAAAAGAGATCCATTTCTCTATTTCAGATAGTAGTGTTTCAGACATACACCAATCAGAATGATAATTCCATTGAGGCAAAATATGTCTTTCCTTTGGATGGCACAGCGGCTGTATGTGGATTTGAGGCTTTCATCAATGGGAAACATATTGTTGGAAAGGTAAGATGATTTAATATTTCGCTCTTCTATAGTGCTTTCAACCCGAAAATTGCAAAGCATTAATGAGCGAAGACGCACAACATTAGTGTTAATACTACTCTCACTCTGATTTTATACCATTGTCACTTAACTAGATTTCAAGTTGATGGTATCCCACTAAATGACTGTTGGTTAATTGAGACAAGGTAGTTAACTGTGTTCCATATAAAAATAGTTCATTTAATGATTTTGGAGCAATCTTTTGCAGGTTAAAGAAAAGGAACAAGCACATAAGGAATATAGAGAAGCAATCAGTCGAGGTGATGGAGCTTACTTGATGGACCAGGATGCCCCAGTATGTTGAATGTCATGGTTTACTATGCATTTTAGAAATCCCAGATTGGTCACATTGTATATTAGTTGTTGAAGTCAGATACCAAACAAAGCAAGTTTATGACATTGATCCCCAACCCCACAAATACACATGTACTTCACTTTACACCTATGGGTAGTTCCATTGGAATCGTTGCAGAATCATGTCTTCAATGGGAAGGATTTTTTGTTTTGTCTGTTTTTAAATAATGGAAATTATTTAGGCTGCACATTTGATCATTTCAGGAAATTAGTCAAAAATATCTGCTGTACATCCTTCAGAAACTAGATTTTGCTAACTCTCCGTAAAAACCTCTTTTAAAAAACAATTTGAACTCTCTCTGTAAAATATTGATTTATGCAAGTTACTACTGATGAGTTGTGTCCAGACAGGAATTTTTAGTAAATTGTTAAAACAGCATAACTTCTTGCCCTTTATCACCATAATTTGTTTTCTTCAAGCCGCTTCTCTGAAGAAATATAGAAAACTAGCATTTGTTTTCTGTACATGACAAAACAAATGATTTATTGCTTTGGAAAATATATAGTTTAAATATGCAGATTAAAGCAAGCGTCTCTTTTCTAGGATGTTTTTACTGTAAGTGTTGGAAACTTACCACCTAAAACTACAGTTCTTATCAAAGTCACCTACATCACTGAGCTTAGTTTTCAGAATGGCCGTATTACTTTTCAAATGCCTGCTGCTGTGGCTCCTTGGCAACAAGACAAAGCCTTAAATGAAAACACACAGGTTTGTGCATTTAAAATATAAACTTAAAGTAGCATCTTCTTGGTTTGGAGCACAAGTGCTCCTCTAAGGGCGGTGATTCCACAACAAGATTGAGGGGAGTTGCAACCATCCTCCCTTTCTTACCTTTTTACATGTTTCTTACCGTTTCATTTAAAATTGATTCTAACCCTCATGGCTAAAAGCAAGAGCCTCCAAAAATGTGAACCAAAACAACAAATAAATCAACGTAGTGATGCCTGCCTGAATCTGCTCAAAACAATAGCTCTAAGACAGGGTTCACAACTTGGTATTGTGACCAGCCTGCCCATATTATTAAATGGAAAGTGGCCCTGGCTACATGGGATGAAGGCCTAGCATGGGGAAAGGGGTCCGAGGATGGAAAAGGTTGAGAACCACTGATTTAGAACATGAGTAAATTTAGCAGTGTTAGTAATTAAGGTCCCTATAGGCTGGCTACTTTATGTAGGTGGCCCCCTGCACCCTATTGACTTCAGTGATGTTCCATGTGGGCATAGAGGTTTGCCCAAAGAGAACAGATTGCAAGAAGGGACAAATGACTTAGTATATTTTCCCTCTTTAAATATCATCAAGCTTATTCTTCTTCCCATATGTATGTATCATTCCCATATGTTATACTCGCACATTGAGGAAAGAGTTAACCTCTGAAAGTGAAAGAAGCTGAGAAAACTGCTGGGTGCTGTGCTACAGTTGCTTTTCTAATAAAACCAAGAGTGGCACTAAGATCTGCATATTTCATAACAATGATATATTTACCGTTTTTTATTTTGTATAGGATACAGTAAAGAAGGTTTGTGTTAAACAAATAGGAACAAAAAAGGGGTAAGTAACATTTAATAAGGTATTTGATATAAAAAATTATTTTAAAGTTTCCTTATTTTTGTTACTAACACCTTAGATTCTTAAATGTGAAGCAGCGTGTAAAATTTATTTTTCACTATTTATGTGGGGTTTATGGCATTTCGTTCAGGTTGGATGACGAAAAGACTTTTTACTTTTGATTCAAAACTGCTGCTGTATTTGGGTTGCAAACACTACACGGCAATAATTTTTAGGCAAACTCCATCTCCACCGCACTTCATTGAATATTTTGGATTGTTTGTTTCCTGAAAACATTTCTCTCAATACCAGGTTTTATAAAAACTTTGCATCACAAAACCTAATCCCTTGGGATTTCATGTCTATTGAAGTACACTACCTGAAAGTGTACTTTTTAAAATTGAACTGATTGTTAGCTTTTTCTTTTCATTAGCATCTTTCATATTTTTTTAATATTATATTTCAAATTGTGAATTTTTTTCTGATAACTTAATACTTCTTGAGAAATTGATAATTATAGTTCTACTTCATGTAATGCCTCTGCAGATACCCACTTGCTCCTATTCATGAGCTATTCTACTAGTAAAAGCAGTAAGAGCTTTAATGGGCACTTATGCTACTCCAGGAACTGAATTTTCAGTGTTGGAAACTACATAACATCCATGTACATGCATGCACACAATGTTGCGACAAAAAGGGCTAATCCATAGGCACAGGGGCTGGTGCACCCACAGGGCAAAAATGGTGGGTGCTGAGCATCTACTGGCAACCCACCTATGGTGTTCATATTTTTTAAAGGATGTTGGAAAAAACTGGGAGGGTATAGAGAAGAGTCACAAAAATGATTTGAGGGTTAGAAAAAATGCCATATTGTGAGAGACTTAAAAAGCACAGTATGTTTAGCATATCAAATACATGAGCAAGTGATGACTTGATCGTGGTGTGTAAGTACCTACATGGTCAGAAAATACCAGGTACCAAAGGGCTCTTTAATCTAGTGGCAAAAGACATAAAAAGAACCAATGGCTGGAAGTTAAAGCTAGACAAATTCAAATTAGAAATAAGGCACAATTTTTTTAACAGTGAGGGTGATTGTTCCTATGGATAATCTACCAAAGGAAATGGGGGATTCTCCATCTCTTGATGTATTCAAGTCAAGACTGGATGTTTTTCAGGAAGGTACTCTCTATTCATACACAAATTACTGGGCTCATTACAGGGGTAATTGGGTAAAATTCTATGGTCTATTTTATACCAGAGTTCAGACTAGATGATCTCATGGCCTCTTCTGTCCATGTATCTATGAATATCCTTAGTGAATCAGCATGTACGCTGTTTGGAGTGTCTTGGGGATAGAAACTTTTGCAAGGGAAGCATGGGGCAGAAGAAAGCAAGGAGGTCCGACTAGATGATCATGATGGTCCCTTCTGACCTTGAAGTCTATGAGTCTACAAGTAGTGCACTGCTTATTGCCTTTACCCTAAGAGCTGTGAAGGATAGGGAACATAGACTGATGTGTTCCTGATGGAGGAAGCATGGCATACATGCCAAATATCCTCTTCTCCAAAACTGCCTTGTGTGTCAATTGTTTTTTCTTTATTTAGTGGATTCTGTGTGGCCATGTCTATTGAAATGCCATACAGCATTGAACGCATTCATAGTTGGACGCACACACTTAAAATAAAGGTAAGTAAATCTTGCAACTGTTTTTCTGTTTTAGAGCTTATGTCTTGTATTTTAAAAGGACCCTTTTATATTTTTAAAATAAATTGCATATGATGTTTATATAGGACTCATCATGTAAACTGGTAATTCCATTTCCTTATATCAAATGAAAAAAATTTTCATGTGCACTTTTTAGAGCCACTTCAATGTAAGTCTTTTAATCTTAAAATACATTTAGAACATTTAATGTCACTCTAAAGAAAAATATATATTTTTAAATGAAAACCATCATCTTAATGGTAAAAAAAAAACTTTGGGACATCTCATACCTAATGTTACATCTTCAAGCCTGAGTTTTTCTTAAAAGCATGCAGTTTTGTACAATTGAATGCTATTTTGGCAGAAATTGATAAATGTCTGCTTTTTACTCTCTAGAAAACAGACTGCAAAGCCGTAATCAGGACTGTGGAGAATAGTTCCTTGGACATCTGTGGCTTTGTTCTAGAAATCTGGATTTCTCAAGTATATCTACCCAGAATGTGGGTAGAGAAGCATCCAAACAAAGAGAGTGAGGTACAACTGCTACTTCTACTATACGTTATCAACTAATGGATTGACTAAATTCTGCCAGGATGTACCACTCATATAAATCCTATTGAATTTAGTGAAGAGTAAGTCAGAGCAGAATTTGGCCTGATATGGTTAATTTTGTACTTTGAAAAGCTTTAAAGAAATATAAGCCATCAATGTTAAAAAGAAAAAAAGATTATGGGACAGTATTTCTGCGTAATTGTCATGAATATACACTTTGTACCAGACTTACTTGCGGTAATGTCTTTTTGATCAATTTAACAAATTCAGTCTGTACAGTCATTCATCTTATTGGTCTATGTGACCCTTTCCCTTCAGTTTGCTTTCATATTTTATTTAGCAAGTGCTCTATCCTTGGTCTTTAACTTTAAAGTACACTTTAAAACATTATAAAGCAGGTACATTGAAAAAATTTCTATAACGAAGTTTTCTTATATACAGTGTTAAAGCACATGCACAATAGCAACAAATTATCTCCGTAACCGTTAATTTGAAGCATTTTCCTGTTGGTCTTTAGAATTATATAAAGAAAAGATTTCTACTCAGATTTAAATCTGAAGAAAGTTATATATTTCACAGTGCACAGAACATAAAGCAGCCATATTTGCCAAGTTCAGTGGGAAAAAAGTACTGCAAGATGAGGGGTGAAATGCTGGCCCCTTTAAAAGCAATGAGAAAACTCCCATTGACTTCAGTGGGGCCAGGATTTCACCCAAAATGTCTTGAGGAGTGAGGAGGGAACTAAAATATGCAAGTATTGTATTTGCATCTTCGCAGCCTACAAGTACAAATTAGTAATAGTTCCTATCAGGACATAGTTCCATTGAAATGGAATTTTCATAATTCTATCTTTTATTTTAGTTGAACTTTCCACAGAATCTTTCTGATATAAGCCCCAGTCCTGCAAACGTGCACACACAAGCTTAAATTTATTCAAAGGAGTGGTCCCTTTGGACTGTATTTGCTGGACTGGGGCCTATTGTCAGAAATAATACTATAACAAATTTCTAAGCACAAATGATATCACAGACAATTCATTATTAATATTTCTGATTATCCCTACTTCTGTTTGAGCACACTTTTCTCTGGCTAGTTGTGCAGACATATATATTTCAGAGGGATGTGACTCCATATTGACACTGCAACTCCTATTGTTCCTATTGCATCAGTACTCCTGTATTCTTTGCAGGAGTTAAAATGAACCGATAATTGTTGGGTGAGTCTGGAAATATGTAGCTTCAATAAGTGGGCAGAAAAATAGAATACTTTTGGGGGAAAATAACAACATATAGGTATCAATTAAAACAAAGCGTCTTCCTTAACTGCATCATTTGACTGATGTAGTAGGTATGTGGGGGAAAATGCATCTCCAGGACTGTCACATGGCATCCGGTATGTCCTTTGGAAATGTCACATCCAGGGGAAAGCTGGCATTCAGGATCATGGCACAAAAGCTCTAGCAGAGATCAGCAACAAAGGGGTCATTGTGTACTGAATGTACAGGTTATAATTGCACACACTCAAGAAAACATTTTAAAGGAACTATTTTAAGGGATTTGACCTGCACAGTAGAAAGTTTGGAAATTAAAATATTAATGCATCCGTAAGAACAATATCTGAAATTCTGGTTTATCAAAAGCATTTAAAAACAAAGTATTTTACTAATACCACATATAGAAACAGATTTTAGTTATAAAAATTTGAAGCACACAAAGAAAGGAAAAGCTAAAAGATGCATTTTAAAATGTGTGACTCCAGACTAAGAGAGAGTTGCCAAAAAATGTTTAAGATTGACACTGTCTAATCTCTTACACTTGTGTGTGATATTTACTATTTATTTGCTGAATATTCCATTTTAAGAGGAGGAAAATGCTACAGTGGTTCAACTAGAGATGAAAGGTGAACCAAAATATAAGGTTCTTCTTTGAGTGCTTGCTCATGTCCATTCCATATTAGGTGTGTGTGCTCGCCACATGCACCGGTGCCATAAGTTTTTCCCTCAGCAGTATCCGTGGGGGACTGGCTCTGGCGCCCTCTGAGTGGCACTAGCATGGCGCAGTATAATGGGCGCCGCCAGCTCCACCTACCCTCAGTTCCTTCTTGCCACCAGTGATGGTGCTGGAACGTCTGTTGCTTCGGCTAGCATTGATTCCTTCTCAGTTCTTGTGAACTTTGAAGTCCTGTAAAATAGTTATACATCGTTAGTAGTTTCTTAGTTACTCTTAGTAGTAGTTCTCAAACTCTCTGTTAGTCCCAAACAGGACCCAGCTGCGGGTCGGGGCATGGCCCGGGCTCTAGGCTTTAAGCCCTGTGCTCACTGCAAACAGCCTATGCCCGTCAGCGATCCCCATACCAGCTGCCTAAGGTGCTTAGGCGAGGGGCACATAAGCTACAAGAGCCATATCTGCAAGTCCTTCAAACCTAGGACAAAGAAGGAGTGTGATATCCATCTAAGAGTGCTCCTAATGGAGTCGGCACTCACTCCAGCACTGGAGCAGCGGCCCAACTCCGCACGGAGCACCGTGGCCTCTGTGCGCACTGCTCGCCGGTGCCGTCCACTACCTGGCACCAGTCTCCCTCCACAGCTCCAGTCAAGAAGCCGAAAAAGACTGTGAGGGGAAGATCTCCTACCTCCTGCAAGAGAAAAGAGAGGGCTGGGGGTGAGCCAAGACCCGTGCCAGGCAGCTCAACGCCCCCTCAGGAAGTCAGGCCCCAGTTCAAGTCGAGCGGTGCAGCCCATCCCATGCCTTGCCTGCGACTCCAGATAGCTGTGCAGGCTGCAGCCAGTTTCAGGTGCCATCAACGCCTGAAGCCCTTCAAGCAGCTCAGGAGATCCTGACGCTCCCAGTGCCGCCCTCACCAGCTCCAGGGGTACCCTGATCTCGGGGAAAACCCGCATTGGGATATATGTGTGTGTCCCGCCTCAGCAGTACCGTTTCCCATCGAGAGGGATGTGCCACCAGCGTTCTCCCGCCTACAGCCATCACGCCTCAGGACAGGAGAGGCAGACTCAGCGGAGCCCTCTTTGGTCCCCGCACCAGGGCACCAATCGAGGGACTCAAGGCGTACCTCGCCGGTAGATTGGCGCAGATCCTCTGAGGCATGCACCACCTGGCAAGAACTCCAGGACTGGCCCTGACCATCTTCAAGGGTTCAGTACTGATCCCGGGACCGATATGGGCACCAGAGAGCGTCATCACCCGTCTCCAACAGGAAGGTCACCCTACTCAGGACAATCCTCCCGGCAACTGGCTCGTAGTAGCTCCCAGTCCCATTCAACATCCCGATACCGGTACAGGCATGAGGCGTGGATTGCCAGGTATCTGACGCAGATCCACTGAACGCCGTCGGTCCCCGAGTGCCCGACCAAGACAGTCTCACTTGGACAGGTCGGCTTTGGGACGCAGCAACTGGCACCAGTCAGACAAGAGTCACTGCTTAGCCTGATCCTGGTCACCCAGGACCGATGACTCCACTGGTAGCTCCAGCTCAGAGTGAGGTTCCCTGACTGTGGGACAAGCCCTGGTACCAATGGTGCCGACTACATTATCAGCACCAAAACCTGTCCCATGGCCCCAAGTGGAGTGCCTGGCACAATGGTACCCGTGGAACCCTTGGGGGTTCACCCAGCCTTCCCAGGAGACGTTGGGGGTAAGACCCCGCAGGTCCAGGAGGACGCAGGGGAGCAAGCTGCTGGACCACCAATGGACGTGGAGATTCCCATGGCACAGGCATCGTCCTAATCATCGCCAGATGAGGTTATCACGGGGCCTCCTCACCCAGTTCCTCAGCAGGACGCCAAGGCACATCAGGAACTTTTTTGAAGAGGGTCACTTCTAACCTGGGGCTTCAGGCAGAGGAATTGGAAGAGCCCTCGGACTCCCTGTTTGACGTCCTCTGCTCCGCAGCTTCTGCCAGCGTGGCTCCACCCCTTCATTAAGGAGTTTCTAAGATCACTAATGCCCTGTGGCAGACCCCCTCTTCCCTGGCCCCTAACTCTAAAAGGGCCGAACACAAGTACTTCATGCCAACCAAAGGGCATGAGTACTTATACTCCCACCCTGCCCCCAATTCCCTTGTGGCTGAGGTGGTTAACCACAAGGAGAAGCAAGGACAACCCGGGGCCACCGCCAAAAATAAAGACTTAAGGAAGGTGGATCTTTTTGGAAGTAAGGTTTATTTGTCTTCCAGTCTTCAGCTGAGAGTGGTCAACCACCAAGCCCTCCTTGGCTGATATGACTTCAATATGTGGCAAGCCATGGCCAAGTTCGAAAGGTCACTCCCCAAGGCTTCCAAGAAGGAGTTCCGAGCGATCCTCAATGAGAGCACGACTGCGACCAGGATGGCCCTCCAGGCGGCGTCAGATGCTGCTGCCCACACCATGGCTTCCGCTATCTCCATGCAGCGAGCCTCTTGGCTGCTCCTCTCTGGGTTGTCCACCGAGGCTCAGCAGTCAGTGCAGGACCTGCCCTTTGATGGCTCGTCCCTGTTTGAGAAGTAAACGGACAGCAAATTGCATGGCCTCAAGGACTTCTGCACCACCCTAAAAACCCTGGGTCTCTATGTCCCAGCCCCAACATGTAAGTGGTTCAAACCGCAGCAGCCGCAGGGCCACGGGAGTCAACCTCGCAGGACCAGCCCCATAAACAAGCCAAGAGCTACAAGCGCCGCCCGAGCCACCTGCCTCCACCCTCTGCCCAGTGGGCTTGATCTGTAATAAGCAGGGGGCCAAACGGTCGTTTTGAGAGGGCCACCTATCAGACTATTCCCCAGATCCATCTTTCCCAGTGTTCTCCAACTGCCTTTCCCTCTTCCTCCCTGCCTGGACCGATGGGTCCTCAGCACAGTGGAACAGGGTTATACCCTCCAGTTCCTTTCTACCCCCACCTTCCCACTTGCCTTCCCCATCCCTCTTCAGGGACCCCTCTCATGAGAATCTCCTTGCACAGGAGGTAAAGGGGTTACTACAGCTGGGTTCAGTGGAAGAAGTTCCTCTTGAGTACAGGAACAAGGGGTTCTATTTCTGGTACTTTTCAATCCCAATGGCCAAGGGCAATCTACGGCCCATCCTGGACCTGCCAGGCCTCAACAAGTACCTAAGGAAGTTAAAGTTCTGCATGCTCGCCCTGGCTTCTATTATCCCTTCCCTGAATCCGGGCAACTGGTATGCCGCCCTCGACTTGAAGGACGCATACTTCCACATAGCAATCTTTCAAGGAGACAGATGCTTCTCTGGTTTACGGTGGGCCCCCACTACTACTAGTTCGCGGTCCTCCTGTTCAGCCTGGCAACAGCACCAAGAGTGTTTACCATGTGTATGTCGGTGGTAGCAGCTTGCCTCAGGTGCCGGGGTTTTCAGATCTACCTGTACCTCGATGACTGGCTCATCCAGGGCAGCTCCAGGTGTCAAGTCCAAAGGGATGTTGCGGTGCTTCAGGCCATGTGCCGCTCTCTAGGCCTACTGGTAAATGACAAAAGGTTGACATTAGTGCTGGTGCAGAGGATAGAGTTAATCGAAGCAGTCTTTGGGTACGTCTATACTTACCTCCGGGTTCGGTGGTAAGCAATCGATCTTCTGGGATCGATTTATCGCGTCTTGTCTAGACGCGATAAATCGATCCCCAAAGTGCTCGCCGTCGACGCCGGTACTCCTGCTCCGCGAGAGGAGTACGCGGAATCGACGGGGGAGCCTACCTGCCGCGTGTGGACCCACGGTAAGTACTTTGTAGTTCTAACTAAGGTACTTTTACTTCAGCTACGTTATTCACGTAGCTGAAGTTGCGTATCTTAGTTCGAACTGGGGGGTTAGTGTGGACCAGCCCTTTGACTCGACCTGTGCCAGGGTATTCCTGCTGCTGGAAAGGTTCCACACGTTGATGGACCTCATCGCAGAAGTCTCTGCATTCCCTCTGATTACAGCCAGGGTCTGTCAGCGCCTCCTGGGTCACATGGCAGCGTGCACTTATGTGGTCCACCATGCCAGGCTCCAAATGCAGCTCCTGCAACCATGGCTGGGGACGATCTATTCCCAGTCCAGAGGCTCCCTGGAAAAGATCGTTACCATTCCCCAGGCAATACTTACCTCGCTGCGATGGTGGACCGACCACAGGACAGTCCTGAAAGGGGTTCTGTTCGACAGCCCCTATCACTCTATCGAGTTGGTGTTGGACGCCTCGGACCTCAGCTGGGGTGTGCATCTCACCGACCTCCAGACACAGGGGATGTGGTCCCCAGAGGAGGGGAAGTTGCACATAAACATCAAAGAGCTCTGAGCAGTCTGTCTTGCATTCGGAGTCTTCCTGCCCCACCTGTCGGGCAAGGTGGTACAAGTCCTGATGGACAACACAGCCTCGGTGTTCTACGTCAACAGGCAAGGGGGAGCACGCTCGTCGGCTCTCTGTCAGGAGGTGCTCCATCTATGGGACTTCTGCATCAGCCACTAAATCCACCTGGAAGCTTGTCACCTTCCCGGTGTCAAGAATACGCTGGCGGACCAGCTCTGCGGGGACTTCTCCTCTCACCACAAGTGGTCACTCCATCCAGAGGTAGCCTGCATTATCTTCCAAAGGTGGGGAACTCCCCAAGTGGACCTGTTCACTACCAGACAGATCAGGAAATGCCACTGGTTTTGCTCTCTGCAAGGTCTAAGCAAGGACTCCCTCCCCGATGCCTGTCGTGGTCATGGAGTCTGATGTATACATTCCCTCCAATTCCACTCATCAGCAGGGTCCTGGCAAAGATCAAGAGAGACAAAGCGCAGGTTGTTGTGATCGCCCCAGCGTGGCCTCGCCAACATTGGATCGGCATGCTTTGAACTTGTCAGCGGCCACTCCCTACCCCTGCCCAACCTCCTGGACCTGCTGTGACAGGACCACGGTCAGCTCCTCCACCCCAATCTCGAGTCCCTCCATCTCTCGGCATGGATGCTGCATGGCTGAATCCGGAGGAACAGACCTGTTTGGAAGGAGTCCAACAGGTCTTCCTGGGGAGTAGGACGAGATTTTCCCGCTGGGCATCCGAGCGTGGCATCTCTCCCTCGCATTCTTTCATACAAGCTATCCTGGACTACCTGCTCCATTTGAGGAACCAGGGTCTGGCACACTCTTCCATTAGAGGGCATCTAGCGGCCGTTTTCACTTTTCACCCGACAATCCAAGAACAGACGGTGTTTTCCCATGACATGACGGTCAGATTCTTGAGAGGGCTCAAGAGACTCTTCCCGCAGGTATGGACTCCTGTCCCACAGTGGGATCTTAACTTGGTCCTCTGTAGGCTCACCGGCCCACCCTTTGAGCCTCTGGGTTCCTGCTCCCTTTCCCACCTGTCATGGAAGGCCGCGTTCCTGGTGGTGGTGGCGGCATCAGCAAGACGGGTCTCTGAAATTAGAGCCTTGACCTCAGAACCTCTGTACACGGTCTTTTTATAGTCTCTCTGTTCATAAGACACAGCTGGTGGTTTTACCTTTCGGTTACCTAATAGGCTACAGCTGTAGCCTGTCTCAAGTCCTAGCATCAATGTATCATGGTTCAGCTGAGGATGGAATACGCTCATCTCACCACATCATAGATGGTAACCCATGATCATACTGGAGGGAGGGATTCCACTATGTGAGAAAATTTTAAAACAATACATACAATCTTTTCTATAACAAAGTAGCTACCTACTGTAATAAACTTATATTGAATTCATGGGTTTCTTTTCTGTATTTCCACTCTATAAGCTTAGAGAATGCAGGTTTTTGAACTTTTTAACCAATCACAAATGCAAGGCAATACAGTGCACACTTGTTCTCCTGTTTTCTTCAGGAAAAACATACTTTGAAATAAATTTATTTTTAAAATTCTAGGACTTCGCATGAAGTGATGATGATGTTGATGATTTTAAAAAACAAGCCTGTTTCTTATTTCCGAGAAACAACTCCATTCTGATTGCAGAAAAGTAAAATAGATGGGAACAGAAAACACTTGCAAACTTCCCACTGAATTTCTTACCCACGAGAGATAAGCTAGGGACACAGGACAGGGAGAGCTACTCTCATCAAGATTTAACAAAAATAAACAAAAAACCTACTTGCTAACCTCTAGACCAGTGATTTTCAACCATTTTTAATTTGTGGACCCCTAAAAATTTTCACATGGAGGTGCAGACTCCTTTGGAAATTCTAGACCATCTGCAGACCCTCCGGGGTCCACGGACCACAGGTTGAAAACAACTGCCCTAGACATTTGGCTTTATTATGCTCAGATACCACAATAATGGGTGACCTTATGAAAACCTCGATACATATGGTGATCTTTGTAAAATGTTTAGCACCCTTTTGGCACTATATAAATAACAGTGATCTGTTGTGTTGATTATCAAACTCTTCTTTCTTCAGGCATGCATGCTTGTATTTCAACCAAAGTTTGAAACAAGGTTTAAAGGAATCCAGCTGTCCAGAGAAATTATTATTTGTCTAGATTGCTCCAATTCCATGGAGGGTTCAACACTGCAACAAGCAAAGCAGATTGCTCTCCGTGCTCTACAAATGTCTTGTTTTGGACCGAGAGTGAATGTTATCAGATTTGGCACGAGTAAGTTTTCTTTTGTTAGACGCTCACTTTTATTACTTTCTTGTCATCCTTATCTTTATGCTCATCTTTTTTATTAGACAAGCAGTAATATATTAAACTGGAAACCTGACAGTCTCTATTTGTGGGGAGGGATAGCTCAGTGGTTTGAGCATTGGCCTGCTAAACCCAGGGTTGTGAGTTCAATCCTTGAGGGGGCCACTTAGGGATCTGGGGCAAAATCAGTACTTGGTCCTGCTAGTGAAGGCAGGGGCCTGGACTCAATGACTTTTCAAGGTCCCTTCCAGTTCTAGGAGATAAGATATCTCCATTAATTTATTTATTTTATTTTTATTTATTATTTAGTAGTAGAGAATACTTTTATTGTGGTTTTTCTAATAGTAAAAATGAAACCTGTCACTGAGGTAATGTCACCATTCCTAGTTAATGAAATATAACTTAATGTTGAAAGGAAGAGCTTAATTTCAGTTTTCATTCCACAGATTTTACAGAATTTTCTTCATATGCAAAGGATATCAAAAGTGATCTTGCAGCAGTGAAGGAGTTTATTATAGTAAGTAAAATTGTTTTTCCTCTGTATGCTACTGAGAGTTTCTTTGCCCGCAGGGATTCCATGTAACGTCCACCATCACGTTGTTTTGTGGCTTTATTTGAGGCCACCTTCTAAATTATTTCCATGGCTTAGTTTCAGTAGTATCCAAGAGCCAATTTTCCCTGGTAACAGGTGCATCATCTCTGTTGTATGTCCTGTTATAGCTCAGTGAAAATTTAAGGTAACTCATGGTAGGTGTTAGTCATAGGACAATAAAAGTTGGAGATGGGAGAGTCATATTGGATCATCCAGTTGATCTTCCTGAAATGCAGGATTATTCTCTATTTATTATCTTGTCCAATCTGGTTTTAAATGACTCCTCAAGTGATGGAGCTTCCACTCCTTCCTTTGGAAAACTTCTCTGCAGCGTAATAAATCTGACTACCAGGAAATCTTTCTGATGTTCCTCCTAAATTTTACCTTTTAAAATGTCATGCCCCCTCCCTTTGCCCTCTGGTGACTTTGTAGCAGGACAGGAAAAGGTACAGACATCCATGTGAACCTCCCTGCTCTTACAGCACCATCTTTCTGGCAGTGAAGACAGCACTTGAATATGCCAGTGCACTTGTTCGTCCCAATGAAAGGCAAAATTCATTTGGCACTATCTTGGAAGGAAGATTAGATTGTAAATTCTGGAGTGCAGGGATTGTCTTTTTGCTCTGTGTTTGTACAACTTCCAGCACAGTGGGGTTCTGGTCTATGACTGGGGCACATAGGCACTGTCACAATGCAGATAATAATAACTACAGGCAGGGCTGGCTCCAGGATTTTTGCCGCCCCAAGCAGCCCCCCCTGCCCCCCCCAAAAAAGCCGTGATCTCGATCTGTGGCACTTCGGCCGGAGGTCCTTCACTCCGAGCAGGAGTGAGGGACCCTCCGCCGAATTACTGCTGAACAGCTGGACGTGCCGCCCCTCTCCGGAGTGGCCGCCCCAAGCACCTGCTTGCTAAGCTGGTGCCGGGAGCTGGCCCTGACTACAGAAAGGCAGAAGGCAAGCTCAGAATTAAGAAGTGAGCAATCACTTGTACTTGTAAACCAGGAGAAATTTACCATGGGAAGGGAAACTTAACTCTTCACTATAGTTTATTCTAGGGAAAGTTAGAAATTAAATCCAGACTTTCAGATAATCATTTTATTATTTTTTCTCTTTAGTCTGCTACACCAACAATGGGAAATACTGACTTATGGAAAACCTTACGTTATTTAAGTTTGTTGTATCCTTCTCAAAGAGAGCGTAACATTCTTCTTCTATCCGATGGGCACATTCAGAATGAGAGCATGACCTTCCAAATTGTGAAAGAGAATATCAGACACACCAGGTTATTTACATGTGGTGTTGGGTAAGTACAGAATGAATTAACAGTTGTACTGTGCTGTGCTTCAGACTTAAAAATCACTGATTATTTTACTTGAAATGAAATGTCAATGTGTTGAGGATCATCAGGTTTGTGAATGTGCTGTCTCTTTATCATGTACATATAGATGGAATGCAAAAAGTGAATGCCACATTCTACTGTTAAAATAAAAAATTCCAGGAAATTCAAATTCGAGATTCCTTCAGTAGAATTTACTTTGCACATATGTAGTTTTGTCTATTCCTCTCATTCTTCTGAAATGTGTAATTTTAATATATTCCTGTTTAATATAAAAAGCATGCCTTAGAATGGGAAAGTAGCTAACATTGCTGAAACTTTAACTTTTAACATTTCCTGACTCCATAACTTTAATAATGCAGTAACATAGTTTTCTGCACTGATTTTTTTTAAAATAAAGATTTAAAAAGAAATTACCATTGCTTACTAAAATAAGCACTTAATTGGTTCTAATTAGGCTTTGTCTAGAGTAGGATTTAAAGATGTGTTAAAAGATGTCAGCTAACATGTTTTGACTAACATGTTGCAAAAGTCTAGTGTAGATTTTTCAGGGCTTGTCTACATTAGAAAGTTATACCACTTTTACTCTATTGGTACAACCCCCCCTAGTGTGGCTGCAGTTATATTGGTATTAAAGTACTTTACACTGGTATAGCTATTCCCATATGGGTAAGGGAATAACGATAACATTACAAGTTACCTTTATACTGGTATAACTGAATCCATGCTAGGGCTCTTATGGTATAACTATTTCAGTAAAAAAATTACACCTGACGTATTTATACTGATGTAGCTTTTAAACATAGACTGGACCTCAAAGTATACTGTTAACATATTACACTGGTTGAGTTAAAGTACCAATGGTGAATGAGACATAACAGAGATAAGTTCACACCTTTCCTGATGCTGTTGTTTGGATAGAGACAGTTTTCTGCAAAGCTGAATTAACAGAGAAGCAGTGCATCTTTTTATATTGTGATGGTTGTATATCAGCAGCTGAAGAAAATAGGTTTTTTTTTAAATGAAAGGTTAGAATTTTTAGAATATTGCAAAGTGCAACAACGGTTGTAAAGAGACTTTAAAATTGTGCATGCCACACTTTCTCTCAGGCCTGTGAATTTTGTCCTGTTTTTGAGGTAAATGCAATTTTATTCCTTCATTTTTATTTTTTTTTCCAGTTAATTTTCACCGTCAATGGTGTAGCATTCTTTTAGCAGTAAGTCCTTGAGAAAATGGGTTTATCAAATCCTATTTTCTTTTTTCCCTAATGCCACCCAACTTAGAGTTACAGATTATTTGAGACTTGTCTTCCATGTCATCCATTTTGTTAGGCAGTCTCTTTATTTTATACATTCATTGCCCTTCCCCTTCACATTACTTAATTACAATAGCTTCCATCCTTTATAAATAGATGATGCAAAATTCTGCATTACATAAAAACTCCTGTCTGTTAAGCAATTTTGGCCCCACAATCTTGATTTAAGATCAACCATTTCCAGAAAGAATTGCTTGACAGTCCAAAATGAAATGCCAGTGGCTTTCAATGGAAGTAGGGCATCTATTTCATGTAGGCCCCTTTGAAAAACCCCTGCCTCAAAGATCTTACATCTGTTATGGAGAAACTCAAGAATGCATTTTCCTTAAAACCCTCTGAACATGTACTTCATCCCTCATTTCACTACATCCAGTGGGAAACCAATGAGTTGGCTTTTCTCTGTGTGTGATTTGCACTAATTGAATGCTGAATTTTCAGAGCTAGGACGTGGGTTTTAAACCTATATGCACTGGGGATGAACATGGGAAACGCTGCTGCTCTTGGTTTTCACTCTTGATAGCATTAGAATAGTGATAAATATAGGCAACCCTCTGTCAGGATGGAGCATGTGTTGGATCTTGCCAGTTCTGAGCTTTGTTTAATATAGATGTGAATGAAGGAGGGGGATTTAGAGGGATTGGAGAACTTGCTACTCTATTAAAAAAAAATTAAATGTTTGGAATCAATTTCAGATGATCAGTTTTTACTTAAAAACCAAAAAAAAAAAATTTTAAAATGTGCTTAGTTCCACAGCAAATCATCACATGCTGAGATCTTTGTCTCAATATGGCGCTGGAGCATATGAATATTTTGACCCAAAATCGAAGTATAACTGGCTAAAAAAGGTAAGTTTTATCAATCCTGAATATATTTTTTCTGAATTTTACACTATTGGCAGCTGCTTTGGGTGGAACTCTTTGGGAGCCTCAAAGTTTCAAATTAGGAGGAGCATCTTTGGGGATTGGGAGGCCTTGCTGTTTCAGACAGGAGTACTCTTGGTGTTTTAACAGACGGAGAACTGCTTTGTATTGGGAAATGGGGCTTTTGTGTCTCAAAGAGCAGTTCCCCCTTAAGTGAGACGTTGGACTCCACATGAAAAGCAACTCCCTCTAACTTTCAGATACCATACCAGTTTCAGACCAGGGACCTCACAAAAAAGAGAAGCTTCTGAAATATCTTCCCACCCCTCTTCCTCTTTGATGTCTCTGATTTTTAAAATATAAGTTCATGTGGGTGAAAAGTGGTACTTCTCTCTCGCGGGGTATGTACACTCCATCCCATGTGCCGGGTCACTTATGGTGAGAAGAAAGGAAAAAACTTTATAGCAGCCAGTTGGGTCCTGTGTTCATGACCCTGACTATAAAACGTGGCAGTACAGTCTAGTGGTCGGAGTCAATAAAGTGGCCCTTCCACTCAGGGCAGCGTGACCTAATGGCCAGAGTCAATGAGGGCGGCCCTTCTACTCAGGGCAGTGCGGCCTAATGGCTAAAGTCAATAAAGGCTCCCACTTCTGGGGTACTATGTGGCCTATTGGCTCGCTGCGGTGTGTGGAGCCCAGAGCATGGGGACTCAGGCCTTCCTTGCTCCTTCGAGTCCCAGCCTGGGGCCCTGGTGGTGGTGGAGGTGCTCACCACTGAGTCAGCAGGGATCCTCCCGAAACATCTTGACTGGTTCCCCGTTTTGCTCACTGGAGAAAAGTCTAAATCCCCTGGGCTGCTTTCTACCCTTTCTCCCTCGGCGATGCTCCATGGTTCCTACAGGTCTCTAGGGTCCTCAAGTGGCGTAGCTCCTGCCGGCGCAGTCTCTTCTCAGGGCTTGTCAGACTGCCTGGAGTCTGTCTGGAGCTCTGCGTGCCATAGCTCTATAGTTGGGGCATGTAGCAATTCCCTGGAGAGAGCCTGCAGTCTGCGTCCTCCCCCTTCAGCAGCCTGCCCAGACTGAGTTGGGCAGGCTGCTTCCTTTTATACTCTGCCTCCAGGCTGAACATGCCCAGCAAGGTTGGAGGGGCGGGGCTTCCTCAGCCTGCAAAGCACAGTTAACCCTTTCGGGGCTGGCATGGGGTAGGTCCCCCCCATCACATTCTCATTTTAGGAACTTGGTGGGGCTATCTCAGTAGTTTATGATGCTGAGGCGATGTTGGCTGCTACTCTTTGAGTAACCTCTGCTGGAAAGCTGCAGCAGTGTTCGCTTTCAACCAGAAACTTGTCAGTTTTCACTACTGTCTCTCCTTGTTTTTAATATAATTTACATTATGAGGGAAAAGGAGATGGTATTTGGTGTGAATAAGAACCAAGTTTCAGTTTTGTTCCTTCTTTACAACACTGAGAGAATAAAATAAAGTGAAAAAACTTGATGAATTTTATTTTATTTCTCTAATTTTAATGTCAGATTCTGTTGTACTCATCTTGATTAGGGCTTGGTCTACACTTAAAACTTAGGTCGACATAGCTACAGCATGCAGGGGTATAAAGGCCAAAAAAGAATTTGAAGAACAGCTAGCCAAAGACTCAAAAAGTAATACAAATTTTTTGTTTAAGTACATCAGAAGTAGGAAACCTGCTAAACAACCAGTGGGGCCACTGGACGATGGAGATGCTAAAGGAGCACTGAAGGATGATAAGGCCATTACGGAGAAACTAAATGAATTCTATGCATTGGTCTTCACGGCTGAGGATGTGAGGGAGATTCCCAAACCTGAACCATTCTTTTTAGGTGACAAATCTGAGGAATTGTCCCAGATTGAGGTGTCATTAAAGGAGGTTTTGGAACAAATTGATAAACTAAACAGTAATAAGTCACCAGGACCAAATGGTATTCACCCAAGAGTTCTGAAGGAACTCAAATGTGAAATTGCAGAACTACTAACTATAGTCTGTAACCTATCATTTAAATCAGTCTCTGTACCAAATGACTGGAGGATAGCTAATGTGATGCCAATTTTTCAAAAGGGTTCTAGAGGTGATCCCGGCAATTACAGGCCGGTAAGCCTGACTTCAGTACTGGACAAACTGGTTGAAACTATAGTAAAGAACAAAATTGTCAGACACACAGATGAAGATAATTTGTTGGGGAAGAGTCAACATAGTTTTTGTAAAGGGAAATCATGCCTCACCAATCTACTAGAATTCTTTGAGGGGGTCAATAAGCATGTGGACAAGGGGGATCCAGTGGATATAGCGTACTTAGATTTTCAGAAAGCCTTTGACAAGGTCCCTCACCAAAGGCTCTCAATCAAAGTAAGCTGTCATTGGATAAGAAGGAAGGTCCTCTAATGGATTGGAACTGGTTAAAAGATAGGAAAGAAAGTGTAGGAATAAATGGTCAGGTCTCAGAATGGAGAGAGGTAAATAGTGGTGTCCCCCAGGAGTCTGTACTGGGCCCCGTCCATTTCAACATATTCATAAATGATCTGGAAAAAGGGGTAAACAGTGAGGTGGCAGAATTTGCAGATGATACAAAACTACTCAAGATAGTTAAGTCCCAGGCAGACTGGAAAGAGCTACAAAAAGATCTCTCAAAACTGGGTGACTGGGCAACAAAATGGCAGATGAAATTCATTGTTGATAAATGCAAAGTAATGCACATTGGAAAACATAATCCCAACTATACATATAAAATGATGGAGTCTAAATTAGCTGTTTCCACTCAAGAAAGAGATCTTGGAGTCATTCTCTGAAAACATCCACTCAATGTGCAGCGGCAGTCAAAAAAGCTAACAGAATGTTGGGCATCATTAAGAAAGGGATAGACAATAAGACAGAAAATATCATATTGCCTCTATATAAATCCATGGTATGCCCACATCTTGAATACTGCGTGCAGATGTGGTCACCCCATCTCAAAAAAGATATATTGGAATTGGAAAAGATTCAGGAATGGGCAACAAAAATGATTAGGGGTATGGAATGGCTTCCGTATGAGGAGAGATTAATAAGACTGGGACTTTTCAGCTTGGAAAAGAGATGACTAAGGGACGATATGATAGAGGTCTATAAAATCATGACTGGTGTGGAGAAAGTAAATAACTAAGTGTTATTTACTTCTTCTCATAACACAAGAACTAGGGGTTCACCAAATGAAATTAATAGGCAGCAGGTTTTAAACAAACAAAAGGAAGTATTTCTTCACACAATGCACAGTCAGCCTGTGGAATTCTTTGTCAAAGGATGTTATGAAGACCAATGCTATAACAGGGTTCAAAAAAGAACTAGGTAAGTTCATGAAAGATAGGTCCATCAATGGCTATTAGCCAGGATGGGCAGGGATGGTGTCCCTAGTCTTTGTTTCCCAGAAGCTGGGAATGGGCAACAGGGGATGAATCACTTGATGATTACATGTTCTGTTCATTCCCCTTGGGCACCTGGCATTGGCCACTGTTGGAAGACAGGATACTGGGCTAGATGGACCCTTGGTCTGACCCAGTATGGCCACTCTTATGTTCTTATGAAGAATCCGTGCCCCTGAGCACTGCAGTTATGCCAACCTAAACCCCTGGTGTAGACACAGCTAGGTCAACAGAAGAATACTTCCGTCATCCTAGCTACTACAGGTCTGTCGCATCTTACGCGCATTTAACGTGCGCGATTTCAACTTTACGCGGTCGGCAAAAACAAAAAAGAGAAAAACAACAATTTTAATACTATACCTGTAGTGTGGGTGATTTTGCCCGCCATTGAACTCAATGGAATTTTGGCTATACGTGGTTTTTGCTTTACGCGCTAACCGCGGAACGGAACCCCCGCGTAAGATGAGACAGACCTGTATCTCTCGGGGAGGTGCCGTGACAAGAAAACCCCTTCTTGTGATATTTTTCCTATTAGAGTAACGTATTTAACTCATTTGCATCTTTTTACACAGATAGAAAGCCAGACATCCAGAATATTTTCTCCAGGATGCAGTTCTGTCTCTATTAAATGGCAACAGTTTGACTCAAATGCACCAGAGCCATTGCATGCTCCTGCTCAAATACAGTCTTTGTTTAACAATGAAAGACTTCTTGTCTATGGATTTATCCCACGTTGTACTCAGGTAATGAATGATACCAGGGAACATGTTTTTAAAGATATGCATCTCATTACTCACAACTCCAATTCTATTTGCATTTCTGGAAACTGAGCATCACTGCAGAAGTGCTGATAGCACAGAATGATAGGGAAAATGAGAGGAATACTTTTCTTATTTCTTTCAGGCCACCTTAAATGCACTAATCAATGACCAAGAATTGCAAGCAATGGTATCAACCACTGAATTACAGAAGACAACAGGAACAGTGAGTTAGGCTAATGTTATTTATACATACCATATATATGTTGTTTTAAAATAGCACATACCCTTGTTTTCAGCATTTTTGCTTCTACTGTTTTAATAAAGAACCTCAGCCTCATTTGAAGGAAGCTTTTAAAAAGGCAGCTGACCTATGTGGGATAAGTGAGCACATTTCCTACATGCTTGCTGGCCCAGACTGATTTGAAAAATATAAACTTACCTGGGTGGAAGGTGGTTCTTCTCATTTTAGGAATTTGTTGGGTCTACCTCTGTAGTTTCTGTTGCTGAGGTGATGTTAGCTGACCTCTGCTGGGGATGATGCAGCAGCATTCTCTTTCAATACTTAAGCCATTGCTTTTTGGAAAAATTCTAAAAGAACTGAGGCCTGATCTACACTACATAGTTAGTCGACGTAAGGCAGCTAGTTATGACCTAATTATGTCAGTATACACACTTACTTTGTCCCGCCGATGTAAGTGCCCTACTACACCGATATACTAACTCCACATCCACAAGAGGCATAGGGTGTACGTGGGTGTAGTTAGGGCAATGCACTGTCTGTGTAGATACCTCTTTACTTACATTGGCTGTTGGCAATTTCAGGGCTCCATGCTGGAACCGTGACATTGACGAAAAAGCTCAGGGAGGTGAGAAGCCCAGGTGGCTGGCCCCGCTCCCAGTGGGGAGACGAGAAGCTGAGAACCCGGTTGGCAACTGGCCTCAGCTCCCAGTTGGGAGGCAAGAAGCCGAGCTGGCTCCTGGCGGTGAGCTGCGCAGAGCTGAGAGTCCTGGCTCTCAGCCCCGCACACTACCCCTCTTCAGTCTGTGGAAGTGCTCCTGGTGAGGATGCGCACCACCGACAGAAGAGTACTGTGGACATCAGTCACTGCAGTAATTACTGAGGTGGCTGTAAGTCAACCTAACAAAGGTCAACTTAAATCTGTAGTGTAGACATGCCCTGAGAGAGGAGGGATCCTAAAAGGCAGCACTATCCAATGTGAACAAAGGCTGTGACTGTTTCAGTTAATGTTGAAGAAACTTCAAATCCACTCCCTATGGGAAAGCACGGCAACAGTCCTAAATAACTTTCTAAACTGAAAAGAGGAAAATGGCTAAAAGACATTTATTTACTTTTCAGAGCTTGTCTACTCCTGGAAATTCACCAAAATAACTATTCCAGAATAATTATTCATTAATAATTATTTTGAAATTGTTACTTTGATGTAAATTCATGTGCGAGCGTTTTTATTCTGGAATGAGAGTGCGTTTTTGCTGTTTAGCTTAATCCACTTTGGAAGCTATTTCAGTAAATTTCCAAGCTCTTATACAGACAAACTGGGTTGGTGCGAATGGGGGAGGTACTCACTTATCCTAATGAGTCAGGTACTCTTTAAACTACTGTCCTGAGAGGTTCAAATTCTCATCTGGGCTTCAGATCAGTATTCCTCTTCATGGGTCAAGTTTGTAGTTTGTACCTCTACAAATCATACTCCTTCTTTTGACCCCACGACTAATCAAAGGTGCAGAAAGGACAAATGCAATTTTGACAGGTGCAAATTGTGATTGCAAAAGGAGAAGCTGCCTTATGAAAATCTGGGCCAAATTTAGAAGATGAGTGTTATTTTTCTATGCCTCACATAGAATCGGAGAATTCCTGCCATTTTTTCCTTTCCCCTTTATCCAGAAAGATCCCTTTGTTGTGGCTACCAACATCTGGCCAAAAAGGACTCACCGGGGTCCCCTTCAGAGTCAGTCAATGTTTTTTTTTTTTTTTAAATGGACCTAAGGAGATGATTGGATGACTCATTGCTCCATGTCCTTACTGGGCTGGGCTTAACAGTCTTCAGTACTCCCACTCCCTGTTGGCTTTAACATATTACAGATGTACAGATTATTTTCCTCCTCTTGGCTAGAGTGGTGCAGTTGAAACAAATTACATCACCAGTTTGCATAGTTCACTGTCCCCCAGAGCAGGAATTATTGATGGTATAAAGGTATGATGATTTTTAAAAGTTAAAAAAATGAGCACTAATCATAAAAATACAAAATTATTTCAAACAAGGTGTGGGCTGTAATGCTCCTCTATGGAAAATACTCCCTTGAAACTTTTAACACTCAATAAAATGTAACTTTAGATGCCAGTTATCCTGAAACTGGATCCTCATTGATCAGAAGACTTTAAAAATCATAAAACCTAATACATAAAATTGAGATTTTTAAATACAGGGTTTTAAATTGGTGATCATTTGAACTTGTCTTTTTTCCTTAATGTAGCTTCTCCACAAACTCACAGCAAGAGCCCTCATTAGGGATTATGAAGATGGGATACTTCATGAAAATGAAACAGAACATGAGGTTTGTCATTCTAAAGATAAGAATATGAACTAGGAACCACTATTTTAACTCAGTTTATGCTTAAAACAAGAACTGTTAAAGGGGTTCAGTGAAATGGGGATGGGAAAAGGAGAGGTGGAGAGAATCTTTGACTTGGGAGTGGAAATTGGAAGGTTGCAGTGTGAATTCCATAGATTTTAAGGCCAGAATGGACCATTATGATCATCTAGTCTGATGTCCTGGATAACACAAGCCAAAAAAACATGCCCAGTAACTTCTGCATCAAGCCCGTCACTTCTGTTTGAGCTCCGGGCCGGCTCCGGGCACCAGCGCAGCAAGCTGGTGCTTGGGGAGGCCCGTGGAAGGGGGCGGCACGTCCAGGTCTTCAGCTGCGGGTCCCTCAGTCCCTCTCGGAGGGAAGGACTGGCCGCCGAATTGCCGGATTTTTTTTTTTTTCCGTCGCTTGGGGCGGCAAAAAAGCTGGAGCCAGCCCTGTTTGAGCTATAGAATATCTTTTAGAAAGAGAGAGAGTCTTGATTGAAAACCTTCAGGTGATGGTGAACCCATCACATCCCTAGATAAGTTGTTCCACTTAGTTTCTGTTAAAGAGTTGTCTACTGTCAGAAATCTTTACCTCATGTAGGTACTTGTAGACTGTGATCAAGTCACTTCTTAACCTTCTGTTGGATAAACCAAATAGATTGAACTTCTTAAGTGTCTCACTAGAAGGCATGTTTTCCACATCTTAAATCATTCTTGTAGCTCTTTTCTGAACACCTTCCAATTTTTCAACATTCAGTTTCACATATGTTTATAGACATGAGGGCATAATCCTGTAAACCTTTACTTGCTTGTATGTGTGAGGGTCTTATCCTGCAAACTTTATTCACTTGAGTAGTCCCACTAGAAGTCAGAGTTCTAGAAGCCAGTAGGACCCTGATGTGAGAAAAGTTTGCAGGAGTGGGTCCCAAGCTTTGGGGTTAGACTGAGGGAAAATATAGTAGTGGTACTTTTCACAGCTCTGTCTACAAAATAAGCTCCATCCATGTGAGTTGGGTGTAATGCTGCATCACAGTAAATTGTCCAGATGTTTAAAATATGATGGTGCATGTTTTCAGAGCTCTACTAGTCTCCTTGAGCTTGTCTCCCCCTCACTGGGACTTAATTATGCCCATGTGCTCTTCAGCAAATTGGGGTTGATTGGGGGGAATAAATAAGTGATGGTACCTTCCAAATGCCATCCTCTTGAGGCACCAAAGTGAGAGAGTTAATTCACAGATAGTAAATTTTGCAAATCTGTGGCACCCCCATACTGCTTTCTTACAAATAGTTAACATTATTGACATTTAAATTATCGTCATTGGGCATTTGAGGTAACACCTCACTAAAATGAGTGCATGGGGGGGCCAGTCACACGTTTCAGTGCTACTGGTCCATGCTCTGCATACCAACAGAAATCTCCACACCCGTTACACTCAGTTCACATTTTTGAGATTTTCTTCACAGCCATAACAGCTAGAGGTTTACTTTATTTTCATTCAATGAAAGCTGAGATTCTGGAGAACAAGATTGTTTGTTGTTTTCAGAGAGGTCTCAGTATATTGTATGTCTGTGTACAGGATGTTTCTGAGTCCTGAACAGGCTTGAGCATTTTCAATCCTGACTTGACACAAATTGTGTCCCATAAGTGCAAGGTATTTTGCTTTAGTTGTGCTGCTGACATGCTGCCCTTTAGGTTTCAGTAATGACTGTCATTGATCTAGGATCTGATAAGGAGTCATATGCTTGCACTGGAAGGAGCTGGAAGCCCAATGGAGCCCTGAGTGACTTGTGACAAGACCATTCCAGTGCAGTTTTTCTTTAAGAATTACCATTTCCAGTTTCCTCTCCCCCAGCACAAGTGGATAAATCTGCAAGTAGCTGAAAGGGTTAGGATTAGCCCCTTTCCCTTCAAAACACTTCTAAACAGGAAGCAGGAAATTGGGTACACAAACATAACCACATAAGCACTGCTTAGAAATAGCTGCAAGCTGAGCTAGTTTACTTATATCCATAGTGCATAAGAACATATTGTGTATATTCAGTTTTGACATTGACACTTATTTTAGCTAATATTGTTTTCACCTGTATGTTTTGTTTTTAAACATATTTTGTTATTATATAACAACCTAGATGAAGAAACATACTTTGAAAGTCCTGATTATTAACCTCAGCCTGGAGAACTCCATCATAACCCAGTTTACAAGCTTTGTGGCAGTAGAAAAAAGGGTATGTGTTTCCATTAAAATATCCCATTACAGTCTATATGTCTCTAAAACGTCTTTAGAAAATAACTGAAAAGAAAAACAATTACTGTAATCTTGTAAGAATTAAAGCACATATTGTTTAATATTATCACAGTGAACAATTTTAGTTATTTTACAGAAGAACTAAAATTATTATTTTTGCAAAAGCTTGTGTTCTTTGGTCCTTTTTGAATGATATGTTACTTTCTTTATGAAACTTCTTTTATATCATACGTTGTTGGAGCACCTAGGCATCCAAACAAAGTCTGTGTCTGTCCTACCCATTACCCAGACTGGATGTTTGCAAGTGAACCAACAGAGAGGCACAATCTCTATGTTTATTTTGAAGATACTTGCTTTTTTAATGATTTAGAAACTGCATTTTTCTTTTTGTATCTGTGTATGTATGTGGCAAAGTTCAGAACTGTGCAAGTGTTCTGACTTTTGGACTATATCTGTAGGCACAACTCCTATAAAGTCACTATCTCTGGTCCAGAAAGAACTTTTAAATCTAGTAGAACAATACTCTTACCATGTATTGCTGCAACTGTAATTGAAAGAAACTGTTTGGGTTGCGGGCAGCAAGGACTGTGTCTTCCCATATGTCTGTACAGCATCTAGCACATTAGGAACTATTATAATATAAGTAATACTGATCATTATTAATTATTTATTATTTATTATTATTTATTTAGGATTATAAGTATACTAAAGGAAAATAATCAATTCCCTATTACGGTATAATTATCTGACTGTCATGGAGGGCATTGAGTAAGTTGGGATAACTTAAGGAACAGGAGACATGTCCATATTTTGGACAATTACACTTGTACTGCATTTCAAACTAAAAATAGGCTGGCACAGATTTTGTTCATAGAAATAAATATTGTTTTGTTTGTGCCTTTTAAGAATATAACTTACACATTTGATAGATGTCATCGCATGTATAATATCCCAGCAATCCTGTATAATAGTTATTGGTGGAATTATTGTCCCTTTCTTGTAAATACGGCTCCTTAATCAGCCAAAGATTTACTGTTAAGCTCTGTGCGGCACTCTCTGTACTATCTGCTCTGCACTTGGTCACTACCTCCCTAGCAAGAGACTAGTCAGAGCTTTCACTCTTCGGGCAGTTCTTGTCTCTGATTTTCAGACAATGTAATCATCTCTGTCATTACCTCCTAGTAATTATCTTTATATAATACAAATTTTATAAACAAAGTGCCATTCTACTCAGGCTCTCTGATTACTGTGAAATATCATAAGCAACAGTTAAACTTAAACAGTATAAACTTAGCACTATAAAATCAGATAACATGCTAAAAAGCATAATGGTTCAAATATGTTGGAAAATATCTTTCCCATATATAAGTATAATAAAGCAGGTCATGGCATTTGACTCTCAACCTTACATTGTCTGATAGACAGGGAATCTCTGGCATAACAAGCATCACTTTTAAGGATTACAATAAAATTAAAGACAGTTCTCTAGTTTGTAATTCTGTTGCGTTTTAATTTAGGATGTTAATGAAATTCAGCATGCTGGTCTTCCAAACATTCTTGAACTTATAGCTGAGGAAGATATAGACTTTTTACCCTACATGGACTGGGAGCATGATACATCTGGACATGGATACCTGTTTTCTAATAGAGGAGTGGGATTCGGCAGACGTGAATTGGTAAATGTGCTTAATGTGTTCTTGTTTTTAACATTTGTTGTGTATTACCCAGTTGTGGTAGTAGATGGTTTATAAGGTAGCAGTTGGTAATTGTTTATAAAGTCTGCACCATTTCTTATTATTCTGGATTTTTTTTTTTAATTTTATTTTATTAGAGTACTTAGAAGGTGGTACTTCTGTCAGTTGTATTGCACTTATTGAAGTACCACGAACTGTCCAGCGTAGCCACCCTGAATCAGGGTCAGACTTGTCCTTGCATCCATACCAAGGCTCCTTAAATCAATTTAGGTGTGGGATGTCACATATCCCTCAGCTGGTAAACCTCCTTACTTTGCTGGCGGAGTCCTCCTCTCTTACATCCACCATGCCTCATTCAGCACCCACAATATCCCCACAAAATACTGTTATCCTGTAGTGAGGCGGTGTGGCCTCCCTCCGATCCAGAGGGGAGGAACCACTTTCTGTGCCCGGGAGGGTGGAGTCAGGCCGGGTTCGCCCTTCTCACTGGGAGTTGAGAGACAGGATGGGAAGTACAAAAGGCAGAACCTTCAGCTCAGTTGGCACCGAGCCAGGGAAGGAGACAGACGTATCTTGCTCACTGCAGGCCTCTTACTCTGCTGCCGAACCAGGCAGTGCCCTGACCCCAGAGGAGACCGAGTCCAAGGAGGAGCTGCTGATGGCTAGCTACTTCAGGGAGACGGATGACACCTACAGAGCCAAGGTACTAAGAGGTAGTAGGAAGTGGCCCAGGGACACTAGAGTATAGCTTGGTTGCCTGAATCCAAGTCAGTGTGTTTCGGGCGGATCCCCATTGACCCAGTGACAGAACATTCTGCCACTTACAGCCTGGGACTGGGAACCTGTGGAGTAGGGAGAGCCTGGGTTCCCCTACCCCCTTGTGCCAACCCCACCCAGGAGTGGCAGCCTCCCCACCATAGGCAAAAAGACCTGCGTTTGTCTTCTGTCTGCCAGAGCTGAGGTAACAATCTGTGTAGTGCTCTGCCCAGCCCGAGGGCCAGAGCCCACATACTGTTTGGTGCGCTGCCCCACCGAGAGGGTTGGGGCATTAGCACCCGATTTGCTAATTCCCCTGATGTTAAGCAGTGATCCCAGTGACATAATGAGGTGGTGTGGCTTCACTCCGACCCAGATGGGGAGGGACGACCGTCACCGCACTATATACCCCTTTTTGACCCAAGCAGCTAGTCAAAATTTGAGGCCCTGGAGATATTCCAGTTGGGGGTAGAAATTGATGAAAGACGCTGCATCAAAAAATACTGATCTTGCTTATTAACAAGGAATGTACAACGTCCTGGGTCCCCGAAGGTAAGAGGAACCAGGAAACAAACAACAGTTTCTTTGCTTGTAGCCCCAAGCCTCCTTGGGTCTAGTGCTAGCTAAAGATTTCTTTCCCTAGTTTTTTCCAGGGTCTTTCAGGCTGCTGCTTCGCTCTCTTGCTGTTTGCCTCTTTGGGATTGGGTGTGAATGCACCCCACAATTAACGTAACTGGCAGGATATGTTAAGCA